TTTGATAGCATGCGGTCTAAACACGTATTCAAAGAAGTATTTAAACGACAATGTGAATGAGAATGATAAACCGAGCCTTGGTGCATGCAATACAAGTGGATGCAAACATGAAGCATACTAAATTAAACATGATATCCCTAAACTAATCATCGTAAGCAGTTAAATAAAAAGAAGAAAGAATGGGGATTGGAAGACATACAACTTATTACATATTTTTCCTCGCGAAGGAGGGTTCGAATGTCCAAATGTCTGAATAAAAAATTATTACAAAGCCGAATGACTGATAAATGAAAAGGGGCTGTCTAATTTATTACAATAATAATATGCAATGATTGCTTGATGCTCCTCAGGAATTATCCTGTCTGCCTTGCTGGGATTTGTTCTGTTTCACCCCTAGTTACTGTTTTCGACCAAAAGTGTATTGTTTTGCAATTTATTGGAGCCTTACTGACCCCAAAACGCGACTCAGTCGAGCCCCAAATAAATGCAATACTTTGTTTTCTTGTGGAAATCTGTTTTTTGTACCTGAGGTAAAACAGTGCCGACAGGGTATTCCTAGCCATGTATGTCTTTGTTTTTACCCTTTTCTATCATAAAAATACTCAATGGAGGGTTGGAATCATCTCCAAAACCATCAATTAGCAAGTTGATTGCTTGATGATCTCGGATACAATTTGAACAAGGATCAATAAATGCAATGAATAAACAACCACCCCTCTCTCCTATCATGAAGTGAATTCAAGAAAGGAAGTAGAGACACTTCAAGATTCATCAAATTATCATGAATGGATGTAAGACAAGCATTGACACAACAAACTCGGTATAACGTCCGACCAAATTCAATTAATCATAGTGGTTCTTTATGTCGGTTGTAATCCAATTTTAACCAATTTTATTAGCCTTTTTTATTACCTTTCCATTTCTTTATCTTTTTTCCTGTTTGTGCAAAAGTGATATTTACGTCCACTAAGTCCAAAACGCAATAAAGAGAAACAAGTATCAACTTAACCCGAGAAACAAATCTTATTTTCTTCGGGGGGAAATTACAAAGGAAGAGTCAAACTTATTTACAAGCGACAAGGGATTCGAAGTCAAACTCAAGATGTGCAACAAGGACTAGTCAAACTCAAAAGAGTGATAATGACTTAGAAAAACCCAAACTTGAGTGATAATGACTTGAAATCCAAACTTGATAATAAGTGATAATGACACTTTCCTTGGTGATTTCCAATGGTCAATTAGTCCCTTAAAAGTAAACACACTGATGAATAAAGAGAAATGAAAAATAAAAGATTGTGCTTTAGTATAAGAATATGTATACATTTGGGGTAGTGAACCTTCAAAGAATTTCAACCATTAAGTATAGAACGTTTTATGCCTTTGGTAGTAAATCCCCTAAGAGATTAAATCAGTAAGCATAGAACGTTGTATACTTTTGGTAATGAACCTCCTAAGCATGAAACGTTTTATGCCTTTGGTAGTGAATCTCCAAAGATATTAAATCATTAAGCATAGAACGTTTTATACCTTTGGTAATGAACCTCCTAAGCATAAAACGTTTTATGCCTTTGGTGGTGAATCTCCAAAGAGATTAAACCATTAAGCTTAGAGCGTTTTATATATTTGGTAATGAACCTCCTAAGCATAAAACGTTTTATGCCTTTGGCAGTGAATCTCCAAAGAGATTAAACCATTAAGCATAAAGCGTTTTACACCTTTGGTAATGAACCTCCGAAGAGATTAAACCATTAAGTATGGAAGAGTTCCTTTCTTATACTTGAACCACAATCTTAATTTTTCACAACTTTTTAATCGAAATAAGCAAAGAATGGAGGGAGGTTGCCGAGATGATTACGCAAAGTTGATTAATTGGTTAGTACAAACAAACTTGATATTTAAAACATAAATCGTTGAAATAAATTAAACAGCCTCCTAAATAACATACAATAGTGCTAAAATTAAGCTATAGAAAGCGAGCAAAATTAAATAGGATCAAGTTAGTAAACAAATAGAAGGAAGAGTGGCTAACCCCTCCACTTTTACAATTTCAAATCACATAGTTTAGATGTTGAAAAACAGCCCCAAAGGAATTTGAGAGAAACCTACCACTTTTACTATTCACCACCGGAGGTATTATTCACCGCCGGAGGTTACTATTCACCGCCGTAGGTACTATCCATCGTCAGGGGTACTATTCACCTCCGGAGGTTACTAGTCATCCGATGGGGTAAATTATTTCAAGTAATAAATTACAACAGTTTATATAGAATATTTAAATTACAGCAGATATGTAGGTGGTGCAGCCTTCCCGTTGAAACAGTAAAACAGTATAATAATAATAATAATAATAATAATAAATTACAACAGATATGTGGGTGGTGCAGCCTTCCCACTAAAGCGATAAAAAAAAAGTTATAAAAAGAAGTAAATGAAGTATTTAAACAAATTCTATCACATTTCTAAATTAAATGAAAATTTGCGAAAACTCACCTTTTGGGGAAATGATGAATTTTCTAAGTCACAAACTTTCTTTTGATTACTCTCAAGTCTGTGAAATGTGTTCTTAATTCTCAATCCAAAATTTAGAATTACAGCTTTGGTGGTTGGTTTTTGAATGGTGTATTGATGAAATGAAAATAAAAATATCAAAGAAAATATTTTATTTTCCCTCTCTCTCTCAAAAAAAATGAATTTTCTTTATTTCTGATTCTTCTTCTCTCAAACTCTCTCGCACCACTTTATTTTCCTCTCTCTGATTTCCTAATCTCCTTCCCTCATTCTTTGTTTCGTTTCTTGATTGCCTTATGTAGGCAAACCCACCCAAACTAATAATAATATAATATAATATAATACCTACTCAAACTAATAATAATATAATATAATAAATATTATATAATAGATAAACATATATATATATATACAAATTGAATCCAGCAGGCGGTGGACACTTTTTTTTATTATTTTCTTTTATATATATAAAATATATAATTTATACCAATTTTTATAAAAACACCAAAAATATGAACAAACACATAAAATTATGCAAAATTACAAAAAAATACTAAATTAATGAAATATTTAGTATTTTAAAACAATTTGGCCATAATAGTGAAAGTTGGGATTAAAGTTCAAATTAAATCTCTCTTACTGAGGGTTCTATGAAAAACACATTCTAATTGTCATTATCGGGTAATCAAAAGAAAGCGTCCAAGTCTTAGGGCCAGTCAAAATTGGGGTGTCTACATTACCAGTTTCCAGTGCAACAGCTTCAATCACATATATCTACCTAGGGATGTAAGAAAAATTGAAAAAACCGACTAAACTGATTAAACCGGATCAAACAAATCATATTTGGTTAGTTTTTTAATACGAATCGGTCTGTTCGGTTTTGGAAATTAATTTTTTTTGATTTTTCAGTTCGGTGCCAATTTGGATATACTATACACCGATTTGCACCAAAACCGACCGAATATATTTACATATAATATATATTAAATATATAATGAATATTTTGACTCTATTTGATAGACTTGTGGTTTAGACTTATGGGATGATTGTCCTAAGTTTTGGTTTTGTTTTGATGTCAAGACTTTGGTTCTTACATTATATTTTGTTTCTAATTCTAATTCAGTAAAAGCTTCAAGCCTTAGTATTGATTAATTTTTTTGTTTGTATTTTTGTGAATAGTTGAATTAGATATGGTTAAAATTATGTCCAAATATGGCTAATTTAATATTTTTATATAAATTATTTATTGTACGATAAATTTAAGAAATGACTCAATTTTGAAAGTACTTAAACCGATTAAACCGCATTGAGCCGAACCATTTGAATCAGTGCGGTTTGGTGTCGTTTGATAAAAAATTTGGTCTGTATTGATTTTCAATATAATAATACCGACATTATTGGTTCGGTGAAAAATTTCACCTAAATACCGACCGTCCCGAACCGATTACATCCCTATATCTGCCATTTAAACTAATTTCATCAGTAGCAGTAATTCAACTCAAAAATATACTGTGCTTAGAATTTAAATGACCATCTCACTACTCTAGACTCTTTTTTTAGTTAACGAGTAAATTTTTCATGTACGTCCTCTGCCGATTTCAGAATTAACTACTTAATGTCGGTTTAACCGGAGTAGAACGAGAAGCAAATCTTGGGTGTATGCACTAACTCCACAATGCACACACCATTTAAGTCAGAGAGTGCAGTTGTTAGGATTCGACCTCACACCCAAGCTCTGGATACGATTCGTCTAGTACTAAGAGGACCGTCTTAGGACCACTGCACCAAAACCCTTAGGAGTTAGCCTTGAACCTGAGGCCTCAGGACTTATGTCCAAAGGCTTACCAAAGTGCCACATCCCCTTGAATTGCTCCAGACTCTTTATTTGTTTTCAACATTTGAACTAATCTAACATCTTCTACCATCCTTCAATAATTACGATGGAAAACTTCTCTCAACAAATCCCTAGCTCCCTTTTTTTTTTTTTTTGTAGAAACAAAAAGAAAATAAAATAAAAGAAAAACATTTGAATATCATAAAATGAACATGAAGAAAAACTGAAACCAATATACTATTCTTATTCAACTTTACATTTAGAGAATACATCAGCTATATTTATATACAAAGTAATGAGGAGCTCAACTAATTATCTAGAACTATATATCTTCTAACAAACTAACTGCCTTCTCAACTGTGTAACTAACTCCTAAGCTGGTGAACTTCTTGAACTGCAATCTGAACTGGAGCCACCTAAGCTGGCTGCACTACTTGAGTTTGAGTTGGCTGAACTAATGAGACTAAGCTGGCTGAACTATATTTCTCAACATTCCACCTCAAACTGATGAGAGGAGAAACTGACATCAATTTGGATTGAAGATAAGAGAAACGAGAAACTGATAATGGTTTAGTAAAAATATCAGCCAACTAATCGAGAGTAGGAACATAATGTAACGTTAGCAAGGACTTGGTCACAAACAAAGTGGCAATCCACTTCAATTAATATGTTTTGATTGAGAGTGAAAGACTGGATTAGAGGCTAAAGCTATGGTAGAGACATTATCACACCTGAGAAGAGGAATTGTAGGAGACACAATACAGAGGTCATGAAGTAACATGCCAATCCAAGTAAGTTCTACAGCAGTATGAGCCAATGATCGATACTCTGCTTCAATAAATGATCTAGACACAGTGGCTTGCTTCTTGGCTGACCAAGAAATAAGATTGGAGCCCAGAAATATACAATATCCAGAGGTGGATTTCCTGTCAACAGAGTCTCCAGCCCAATTGGAATCAGAATAGGCCTGAAGAGCAAAGGAGCTGGGTGTATAGGTGAGGCGACAAAGTTCCTTTAAGATACTTGAGCAACCTTTTTACACCAGCAAAATGGCCAATAGTAGGATTATGCATATACTGACAGAGGTGATTCACTTCATAAGACAGGGCAAGCCTGGTATACCTCTATAAAAAGAAGGATTGGGAAAAGGAACATCCGAATTGTGAGGCAAACCAGGCTTAACAGATATAGGTGAAGCACATGGCTTACAATCCAACATGCCAGCCTTAGTAAGAACATCCTGAGCATACTTTTTCTGAGAAAGCACATAGGCAAAGCCAGAGGTTTCAACAGATATACCCAAAAAATATGAAAGATGTCCAAGTTCTTTCATAGAAAATGCCTGATGCATTTTAGTAATAAGAAGCTGAATGTGTAACATTATTCCTAGTGAATAAAACGTCATCCACATAAACAAGAAGAGCAATGAAGACTGAACCATGTTGATATCTTTTTACACCAGCAAAATGGCCAATAATAGGATTATGAATATACTGACAGAGATGATTGACTGCATAAGACAGGGCAAGCCTGGTATACCTCTATAAAAAGAAGGATTGGGAAAAGGAACATCCGAATTGTGAGGCAAACTAGGCTTAACAGATATAGGTGAAGCACATGGCTTACAATCCAACATGCCAACCTTAGTAAGAACATCCTGAGCATACTTTTTCTGAGAAAGCACATAGGCAAAGCCAGAGGTTTCAACAGATATACCCAAAAAATATGAAAGATGTCCAAGTTCTTTCATAGAAAATGCCTGATGCATTTTAGTAATAAGAAGCTGAATGTGTAACATTATTCCTAGTGAATAAAACGTCATCCACATAAACAAGAAGAGCAATGAAGACTGAACCATGTTGATATATGAAAACAGAAGAGTCACATTTGTTATTCTTGAACCCTTGAGAGAGCAAAAAAGCTAAAAAGGTAGAGTACCATGCTCTTGGTGCTTGTTTAAGACCATATAAAGCTTTGTGTCGCTTATAAACCTACTGTGATTAGGAAGAATGCTCAAACCCTGATGGCTGCAACATATAGACTTCTTCCTCAAGAAGTCCATGAAGAAAAGCATTAGAGATATCTAGTTGCTTGATAGGCCAATGGTGATGGAGAGCAAGACATAAAAGAATGCGAATGGTGGGCAATTTAGCAACAGGACTAAAAGTTTTCTAAAAGTCAATGCCTTCTTGTTGAAGATAGCCTTTGGCCACTAATCTGGCCTTATGCCTAGCAATAGTCCCATCAGAATTTATCTTGACCTTAAACACCCATTTACAACCTATGGCATGCTTCCCAGGAGGAAGAGAAACAAGGGACCAAGTTTTATGGGCTTGAAGAGTCTGAAATTCTTCCAACATAGCTTGTTTCCAAACATGGATAACCAAGGCCTCCTTGTGAGAGGGAGGTTCAACATCATGATAAGAAAGAGAGGCAGGTTTGAGAGTGAGAAAAGTGGTTCTAGACCTAGTAAGCATAGGATGACAATTAGAAATAGGAGGCACAGAAGGAAGTGAAACAGAAGTAGAAGGAAGAGACAACTGAATACAAATAGAGTTAATAGGTATAGGAGAATGAAGGAGAGGAGGAATAAGTGGAAGAGAAGAAGAACTAGATGCTGGTGAAAAAGAAGCAGTGGATACAGATAAAGATTGTAAAGGTGTAGAAGAAGAAAGAGAAGAGCAAAAGAAGGATTAAAGGAAAGGGAACTGTGATGAAGAAGAGGATAAGGAGAAAGAAGCTTGATGTGCAAAAGGAAACATCTATTCATTAAACACTACATGACGAGAAAGATAAATAGTTCCAATTTTTAGATCAAGATACCTATATCCTTTTTCAAAAGAATGATAGCCTAAGAAGACACACTCAACTGATTTAGGTTGCAGTTTGGTAGGATGATAAGGCTTGAGCCAAGAAAAACATTGGCAACCAAAAACTTTGAGAAAAGAAAAATTTGGAAGTTTATGAAACAAAGTTTCAAAGTGTGTCTTATAAGCCAATTTGGAGGAAGGCAGCCTATTAATGAGGTAAGTGGCACAAGCAATAGCATCAGACCAATAATGCACAGGAATAGAAGAGTGCTGAAGTAAAGCAATAGCAATTTCAGTGAGATGTCTATGTTTTCGTTCAGCTACACCATTTTGAGATAGTGTATGAGGACAAGAATGTTGATGAACAATTCCTTGTGACACAGTGAGATCCTTCATTTTGTTATTAAAGAATTCTATACCACCATCTGTTCTAAGGATCTTAAATTGAGTATCAAATTGTTTTTCTACATAAGCTTTGAATTGAATAAACTTGGCATAAACTTCACTCTTATAGACCAATGGATACAATCAGGTAAACCTACTAAATTCATCCACAAAGAGAACATAGTATTTATAACTAGAAGTAGATGAAAAAGGCCCCCAAATATTACTATGAATTAAAGCAAGGGGCTTATTTACAGTGGAATTAGACAATTGAAAAGGTAATCTATGACTTTTGGCAATACAACAGTCAACATAAGGTTGAGATGTTACAGAAGTAGAGGCTTTAAGATACAAGTGTGATCTAAGATGCTTAAACTTTAAAGCACTAGGGTGCCCTAGCCTATTATGCCAAACAGTGTTAGAAACAGAAGCAGAACTAGACAACTTTTGAGAAGCAAAACTTATGGGAGCTGCTGAAGGAGCATGATTAGCAAGTAGTGAAGTGGATAAAAGAATGTGATACAAGCCATGAAGATTAGATCCTCTGTGAAGAATTTTCTTCGTAAGCTTGTCCTGAATAACAAATTGAGTATCATCAAAACTGATAATACAATTGTTATCTTGAGCCAATTTCTGAACAGAAACAAAATTAGAAGAAATAGCATCTGTATGTAGCAATTATTCAATTTAAACAGGTGATGTAGAGTTGGAAGAAGGCATTTACCAGTGTGCTGGATAGGAATGGAGTTTCCATCTCCTATGGTAATCTAGTCTGAGCCTTGATAAGGCTGATAGCAATTTAGATGGCTAAGATCATTAGTCACATGATCCAATGCCGTAGAATCCAAGTACCAAGGACTTTGAACTGAGGAAGAACCTATTGAAGAATGAGACATGGAGGCTGGTGAAGAAGTAACAAAAGCTCGTGGTTGCTGCTGTTGATTGTGATTTTGGAAAATTTTATTTGAAACCTAATATTGTGGATCAATGCGATACCAACACTCCAGTGCAGAATGACTTAAGCCGCCACAGATTTGGCAAATTTGATTTGAGAACCTTCCTCAACCTTGAGATGGAGTAAATCGACCATAGCCTCTATTTCGTCCTCCTCTTGCTCCTCTGGAATAAGATCTACCTCGATTGGAGCCAAAATTCTGAGATCTTGAAGAGGAAGTGTGAAAAGAATTTGGAGATCCTTTGACTATAGAGAAAGCTACAGTTGATTTATGGATTTTTTTTAATCTTGGATTCTAAATGAATTGCTTCAGAACACAGTAAAGCACAAAGATCATCCATGGTCATGACGTCTGGTCTAGCACGAATTACAGTAGCAAATGAATCAAACTCAAAAGGCGGACCATTCAGAGTCAGTAAGATTAGATCTTCATCTTCAATTTTAACAGATGTTAGGGCTAACTGACTGACGAGATCCTTAATTTTGGAGAGATATTCTTCCATTGACTCAGTTTTCTTAGCAACATTGTTTAATTTGTTCTTCAATTAGTGAATATGAGATCGAGACAAAGGTATACCTCTTATGGAGATAGAACAATGATGAAACTGAAGTACAGATGCATAGATTGAAGGTGGAAGTGTTGCAGTGATACAACTAAGCAAGTGTGTATCAATCAAAGTCCTTTGAAGAAATTCTAAATTTGGAACGGAAGCTCCTTCTAGATCTGTTATTGTAGAGGATGGACATAGAATTTGTCCATCAACATAACCAAGCAGATTTTTTGGTCGAAGAATATTTGAGAGATGAGTCTTCCAAACAAGGAAATTGGAACCATCAAGTTTGACAGTAACAAAGGATGAAAGATTACAGGAAGCAAAGATGATAATGGTGATGCTGTAGATCGGTTGCTCGTTGGAGCTTTGAAGCTCTGATACCATGAAAAAAAACTGAAACCAATATACTCTTCTTATTCAACATTACATTTAGAGAATACATAAGCTATATTTATATACAAAGTAATGAGGAACTCAACTAATCATCTAGAACAAAATATCTTCTAACAAACTAACTGTCTTCTCAACTGTGTAACTAACTCCTAAGCTGGTGAACTTCTTGAACTGCAATCTGAGTCGGAGCCACCTAAGCTAGCTGCACTACTTGAGTCTGAACTGGCTGAACTAATGAGTCTGAGCTGGCTGAACTATATTCCTCAACAGAACATAACATAGTTTAAAGGATCCAAAGAAAAAAGAGGATAAAACTGACACAAACATGATAGCACATCACAAGACACTATAGAAAACTTGAGAACAGAGAGACTAAAACACTCTTTAGTCACCAAACAAGGAACAAACCATCACAATTGTGCTACATATCTAGAAAAAATATCTAGAATTTAAACATGTGGACACGATTCATTCTTTTTTTATCTATGGCCTCTTATGGAGATAGAACAATGATGAAACTGAAGTACAGATGCATAAATTGAAGGTGTAAGTGTTGCAGTGATACAACTAAGCAAGTGTGTATCAATCAAAGTCCTTTGAAGAATACATAAGCTATATTTATATACAAAGTAATGAAGAACTCAACTAATCATCTAGAACAAAATATCTTCTAACAAACTAACTGTCTTCTCAACTGTGTAACTAACTCCTAAGCTGGTGAACTTCTTGAACTGCAATCTGAGCCGGAGCCACCTAAGCTAGCTGCACTACTTGAGTCTGAGCTGGCTGAACTAATGAGTCTGAGCTGGCTGAACTATATTCCTCAACAGAACATAACATAGTTTAAAAGATCCAAAGAAAAAAGAGGATAAAACTGACACAAACATGATAGCACATCACAAGACACTATAGAAAACTTGAGAACAGAGAGACTAAAACACTCTTTAGTCACCAAACAAGGAACAAACCATCACAATTGTGCCACATATCCAGAAAAAAAATATCCAGAATTTAAACATGTGGACACGATTCATTCTTTTTTTATCTATGGCCCACACAACACCCAAACTTTAAATCTACACCATACATATTACTTTATGGTAGAATTATGGATAATTTGACATGGTTCCTAGAATTGTTGAACCATCAAAGCCACTTCAACTAACACTAACCAGAAACATAGATTGATTAGGCAAGCAGAACAACATTATCACAATTTCTTCCAACAACCCAATATACCACCCTTTCTTTCAAAAGCCTAATTCACATTAATTTGCTACCAAACAGCTTTGATCATTTCTTACATGTATATTCATGATATCTAGCCTTAGGACCTAATAATATAAAACGATTAAAAAAAAACAAACAGAGAATATATTTGAAACTAAGGCTCTCATCTCACATGCAAGTTTTTTGTTTTACATGTTTGCAACATAATCAAATCTCAAGAACCTCTTGTGGCAGCAATAGACAAATAAATGGATTTAAAAATTTCAGAAGCAGCTGAAGAATCAAGCAACATACCTCTTGTGGCAGCATTTGCATGTCAGTTTATGTGGAAGCACCAGTCCTGGCACCTCACCTCCCTGTCTAACCCCACCCATCTGCCTACCCTACCTATCCTCCACGTACCCTCCATGCAAACCCTCAAACCTACTATAAATCCCCACCACCACCACCACTCTTCCCTCACCCACCACCATCACACCAGAGAATTAATCACCCACAATGGCAAAGCTTGCAATCCTAGCACTAGCCCTCTTTGCCCTGATCGCCCTCGACCAAGCTTCCGCTTTCCGCACCGCCATCACCACCACCGTGGACAAGGAAACAGCAGCGGCAAACCCCCGAGGAGAGTCCCAGCAACAGAGCTGCCGTGAGCAGTTCCAGCAGCAGCAGCAGCTCCGTGACTGCCAGAGGTACATGGCGCAGCAGGCACAGCGATTTGCAAACCCGAAGCGCCGCGAGCAAGGCCTTGACGAATGCTGCGACCAGTTGGAGAAAATGGACCAGGACTGCCAGTGCGAGAACTTGAGGGAGGCGGTAAGGCAGAAGCAACAGCAGGAGGGAGAGATGAGGGAAGAGGAGAAGAGAAAGATGGAGCAAGCGGCCGAGGACTTGCCCCGGAGGTGCGGTTTCAGCTCACAGAGATGCCAGATTGAAGCTAACTGGTTCTAAATGAGGTGTGTTGCGTTGTGTGCAATGTAATAATAAAGGTCACCACTGCTCTAAGCTGGGATTTAGCCAAGTTATGATGGTGGTGGTGACCATCTAGAAATAAGCACATTATCGTGTGTATCTTGTAAGTGTTGTTGTTGTTGTTTTTATTTATGTGTTTTCAGTTTGGTCTTTGTGGCCATGTAGAGTCCTTACAAACAAATAAATAAAAAAATAAAGTGTACTTTAATATTAATCTCTCTCCGGAGATCACTGCAACTACCATCTCCTGCGATCAACTACCTCCGACTGTCGGCAGCACAGCAAGCTACTAGTGGCTAGCAAGCATCAGTTTTTAAAGGAATGGGGAAAAAAAATAAAAAATTCTTTGATCCCATATTGTGAAAAAACTGTGTTCTTTAACTATATTTTCCGGGTATCAAAACTCGCACGTGAATTCTATAGCATGCAATTTATAGTGTATTTTTTTTGCAAATCCAGAAAGCTGCAAGTTGAGTGAATTCAAGCAAAAAACAAAATAACAAAAAAACAATGAAGATATTAAAGAAGTCAAGTATGATATGACAGAAGCAATCATAGGAGGCAATCTTTAGCAATAATGGAATGTTGAATACAAGATTTTAATGAAGAGACATTTTTTGGTAAGAAATTTTTTATAGCAATGTTAGTAAAGCTAAAACTGAAAGGACATGGAGGATGAAGAAAATTTTGAAAAATGAAAGAAGATAATTGCAAAATTGGAAGCTCGAACAGAAATTGGAGAAAATTTGAAATGTAAGAAATTAAAAATTTCTGAAGTTAAACAAGAAGCATGAAACAATGATGAGCAAAACACAAGTGGGCAAGTTTATTTGCAAAATAACAAAATTGATGAAATTCAGTTTTGATACAGGGTGAGCAATTTTTGATCCTCAATATGAAGCAAAAGAAAAATTCCAGAGGAATAGAAAAATGAAGAAACATAAAAAAGCATATTAAAGAACACAAGGTTAGCACATCCATGGAGATTGCTATCAAGATGGTGTATTCAAGAGTACTGGAAATAGAAAAGATTTCAAGTTCAAGATGAAAAATCATGTGACCAACATCCAAGGGAGTTGAAGAAAACAAAGAACATGAAAATTGCAAATTAAAAGTTGTTGGAAAAGTAATTTAAACTTTATTAAATACTTAGAGATTCTAAAATATTGTGCAATTTGTATCAGGGTGAGGTTAATAGATTTTTTTGTGGAGTTCATATTACGAGTTTTATTTTGATGATTTAAAGACTTTTAATGTATATCTTTTATGAAAAAAATTAAATTGATTTGATAATCATGACATTTTATTTTATCACTTTTTTTTTAAAAAAAATGAATGACAAATATGTTTTTAAAAATAAATCATCTATTTTTTCAAAATACAATAAAATAAAAATATTATGATTATCATCTACCACTCTTCAATAATTACATTTTGGCTTTGTTTTTGAAAAGTGCTTTTGAGTTTTTTTATTTTTTTCATATTTCAATAATTTTTTAACTTTTTACATGCATGTGCACCTAATCTAAATATAATTAGAAAGTAAAATATTTATAAAAAATAAAAATAAATAAAAACTGAAAAAGAATACGAAAATTTACAGATTTTTATATTATATTCTTTTCTTTTTTTGTATTCAGTGAAAAAAAAATTAAAAATTCCACAAATATGTTATTTTTAAGTGTATCTAAATCTATATTAAATACATTTAAAAAGAAAAAAAATATTAAAATATGAAAATAAATTTACTAAAACAAAAAAATATTGAAAAAAAAAAAAAAAAAACTCAAATTTTTTATAGCAATGTTAGTAAAGCTAAAACTGAAAAGGACATCGAGGATGAAGAAAATTTTGAAAAACGAAAAAAGATAATTGCAAAATTAAAAGCTTGAACAGAAAATTGGAGAAAATTTGAAATGTAAGAAATTAAAAATTTCTGAAGTTGAACAAGAAGCATGAAACAATGATGAGCAAAACACAAGTGAGCAAGTTTATTTTCAAAATAACAAAATTGATGAAATTCAGTTTTGATACAGGGTGAGCAATTTTTGATCCTCAATATGAAGCAAAAAAAAAAAATTCCAGAGGAATAGAAAAATGAAGAAACATAAAAAAGCATATTAAAGAACACAAGGTTAGCACATCCATGGAGATTGCTATCAAGATGGTGTATTCAAGAGTACTGGAAATAGAAAAGATTTCAAGTTCAAGATGAAAAATCATGTGACCAACATCCAAGGGAGTTGAAGAAAACAAAGAACATGAAAATTGCAAATTAAAAGTTGTTGGAAAAGTAATTTAAACTTTATTAAATATTTAGAGATTCTAAAATATTGTGCAATTTGTATCAGGGTGAGGTTTATAAATTTTTTTGTGGAGTTCATATTACGAGTTTTATTTTGATGATTTAAAGACTTTTAATGTATATCTTTTATGAAAAAAATTAAATTAATTTGATAATCATGGCATTTTATTTTATCACTTTTGTTTTCAAAAAAATGAATGACAAATATGTTTTTAAAAATAAATCATCTATTTTTTCAAAATACAATAAAATAAAAATATTATGATTATCATCTACCACTCTTCAATAATTACATTTTGGCTTTGTTTTTGAAAAGTGCTTTTGAGTTTTTTTATTTTTTTCATATTTCAATAATTTTTTAACTTTTTACATGCATGTGCACCTAATCTAAATATAATTAGAAAGTAAAATATTTGTAAAAAAAAAAAACTGAAAAAGAATACGAAAATTTACAGATTTTTATATTATATTCTTTTCTTTTTTTGTATTCAGTGAAAAAAAAATTAATTCTTTTCTTTTTTTGTATTCAGTGAAAAAAAAATTAAAAATTCCACAAATATGTTATTTTTAAGTGTATCTAAATCTATATTAAATACATTTAAAAAGAAAAAAAATATTAAAATATGAAAATAAATTTACTAAAACAAAAAAATATTGAAAAAAAAAAAAAAAAAACTCAAAGCCAATTAGAGTGACTGGAAAACTTCTCTCAACAAATCAGTAGCTGCCATTCTTATTCTTCTTTTTCTTCTAACAAAAAAAAAAAAAAAAATTGCATAACATGAAAAGAACAAGACATATTTATGAGATCCAAAGAAAAAAGAGGATAAAACTGACACAGACAAGATAGCACAAACTTGAGAACAAAGACTAAAACACTCTAGACCTAGACCTAGACACCAAACAAGGAACAAACCATCAAAGCCACTTCAACTGAGACAAAAATCACCAAACCAGAAAGGGAGATTGATTAGGCAAAGAGAACAACATTATCACAATTTGTTACAACCACCCAATATAATTGTAAGAGAAGTTAATTTGAACTCATTAAATTAATTAAGTTTAATAATTCAAGGTTGGTGAGTTTGAATTTATCGCAAATTCAAGATTGGTGGGTCCGAATTTATCGCCATTAAACGGGTCGAATTGCTCTAAACCTCGAAAGGGTTCGGATCCATGAATCTAGAGATCCGAACACTTGGCTTCGAACTGATTCAGACGCAATCTAGAAACCGCTCCATTAATGAGTCCCAAAACACTTTTGAACTTGGAGCTTTCTGAGATCTACATACCAAAACCATAGGCGTAATGGAGTCCGAACAAAGGACCCGATCCCGACGACGGTGAGTGGAGATAAATTCACTCTTCGGTTAAACTAGCCTATACCCGGGTCGAGGTGGCACGATCTAGGGGAGTCCCTGAGACTCGACAATATTTGCGGTAGGGCGTTCTCTTGAACTACCCCTGACCCTTCTGCGGCAGGGCATCCTCCGGGACTACCCCCGCCCTTTCGGATGATTGGGAATCATTGGTTAGGTGTGGCTAAGAAGAAGGGTTCGCCAAGAGGTTGATCTCCTTTTTGAGGGTTTTCCTCATTCTCGGAGAAGTCACCTCCTCGGACAAAGTGGTTAGAGTGAATATTCCTCATGTGCCTTGCACATGGACTCCATCCTACATCATGAGGTACTTATAAATAACACCCACCCATAACTTTACAAGAGATGGATTTTGGAGAGATAATTCTTGGAAAAGAACTAATTTCTCTTCTCCATTATCAACCTTGAGAGTGAAAGTGAGAGATTCATGGGAGAGCCTTGCTATTATTCTCTCTCTAACTACTTTGCCTTCTTCTTCACCCAATCTCTTATCTCCATCATCTCTTTGTTTTTGTATTCTTAGTTGTGACTATTGAAGAATCTAAGTCTCTCATCATTTTCTAGAGAATCGAATTTTTCTTCAAAGATCTTCGAATTTTCCAACGACGTTCTTGAACCCTCTCATATATTTGGCGACTCCATTGGGCAGGCGGATTGGTTAATGGTCTCAACGAGATTTGGAACCGACACAAATCCGGCAAGGATGACAGGAGAAGATGAAGTTCATTAACAAGGCTCTTCCAATGGTAGTGATGACAGGACTCAAGTTCAAGATCCACCTCTCATCCTTGAAGCCATTCAAGGACTCCAACACACTCAACAAGAGATTCTCACGACCCTTCAAAATCTCACCGACACCAAGTTGGTGATGGGTTCGAATTTCATACCACCAACAACAAATGGAGGTCAAGTCGGTGCCAGCACTGACAAGCATCAACAACTTCATGGTGATGTTGGTAATGGTCAAAACCATCAAGACCCACCCCCAATTCTCCCTGAAGTTGCTCAAAATGGTGTGCAAAATCAAGTGCTAGGAGGAACAAGTCATGGCCAACCTGTGGCCCATAGAGCGCAAAATCACGCACCTGGAGGATCAAACCATGGTCCAGCGGTGGTTGGAGGGGTTTCTAGCGTGATGAATGGTGTTCCAGCAGCTGTGGAAGTTCAATGAAAGCCCACAGAAATTTCTCTACAAAATGGTGCTCCATCCATGTCTAATTTTGTTCCACCAACTGTAAATCCTACTCGTGTATTGAGCGGGTCTCCTTTGGCTCCGACAACAGTTTTCCAAGCCCAACCCGGCATATCCATGGTGTGTAATGGAGTTTATGGAACTCAATTCAACGCTCCGTCACCAAGTGTCATATCTATAAATGCCAATGGTCAATGTCACCACGTTCCTACATCGATGGTGAATTCTCAACACCCAAGTGGCCAAGTTGCTCCGGGCTTG